ACAACCGACATCTAAATGAGTAGCCCGTGCATCGCTCACCTCGACATATATATTACATGAAGTTACCCCTACTAGTAGTCTGGGTAGACAGTTTGGGGTGACCTCCACTTAGAAAAATTTTATTTTTGGTTATCCTTACTTGTTTTTCAGCTTGGTAGCTCGACAATTCGGGGTAACCTATACACCTACTCCTACCTCTGTCTGGTTCAGTTTGCTAGATCGGGAGTCACTTACACTTAGAATATTTTTGCACAAGGATGAGCCAAAAAAGTTTGTATTTCATTGACGAAAAGATTTTAAGTACAAAGATCTCATTATAACCCGAGCTCGGTGGCCTCGAGGTGTACATCCAAATAGTAAAAAGAAGAAAAAGCAGGGATCATGCATGCGGACTGCCAGGCAGGTTGGTCTCCATATGCTCCCCCGCGTCCTCTTGACCCGATGGGCTCTGTGTCCTCTTGACACTTGCCACCATGCAGTAGCTGGCAACCCGGCCTCCGAGTTGGCTTGTAGGCATGTCAGCCCATTCCGTGACCTCGACAGAAAAAACGACATCCTTGCTCTTGAGCAGTCCGAACCAAGGGGTCATTATGCTTTCTTTGGGGGACTCAGGCTCGGGTGCGGAAGTGCTCTCCAGCTCATGAGGCTGGACGCCTTCCTGCTCGGGTGCGAAAGTGCTCTCTGGTTCATGAGACTGAACGCCTTCCTCCTGGTCTTCGTCCAGGTCCACTATGGGGGGTTGAGGGCAGACCTCCTCCTCAAGGAGCTCGGCAGAGGTCAGCTCCGGAGCAAGGACTTTGGATGGGGTGGGGGCAGAAGGATCGGCCTCCCGGCGAGACCTCTTCAAAGCTTTCCTCTTCTTCCCTCTCTGAAAGCTCTTGAGAAGGTTCTTAACATCGACCTCCGGCATGGTAACTGCAAGAGTAAAAGAAAAGGTTAGCTGCGAACTAAAGAAAACCTTAAAGTAAAAACCGAGGTGGAGATCTACCAGGAGGGCTCAGTCCAGCTCACACAAGCTTCTCCTCAGCCAAGAAATCTTTTATCTCCAGGCCGAGGTCCCTCCAAGAGTTGATAACTGCCCTAGTCTCCGCATCTAAGCTCACCCCGGGATCCTTGATAGCCACCCTCCAGTGAGTTGGAAAAGGCCATCCCTCAGGATTTCGGACAAGGAAGTACCTCCTCTTCTAGGCTGGAACCTTGTTTGGGTTACCGAACAGGATTTTAAACGCGGGTCAAGGAGAGATGTAGTAACTTTGTCTGACGTCCCCGCGCAGACAAGCAAAATTCTTTTTGATCGAACAAATCGAACTGAAGACATCTAGGGAGAGAGGTCGGTTGTACTGATGGAACAGGGAGATAGTACCTGCTATGTTCCGGATAGAGTTCGGATGTAGTTGGTCGATTGTGATGTTAAAAAACTTGACTATCTCTATAATGAAGGGGTGGAGCGGGAAGCGCAGCCCGGCAGTGAGCTGCTCCTCAAAACCGCGAGTTCATAATGATCGTGAGCCCAAAGATACTGACCTAGAGGAACACTAAAGACTAAGCTATTGGGAAGACGAGCGAGCTACTAAATACATTAACCTATCCGAGGTCAAGGTAGAAGGACCAAAGTCGTCCGAATCCTGACCCCGGGAAGAAGATGGGACCTCCGTTCTAGAGGTCGGTCCCTCCTTCTGAGCCTCGGGCTCCTCAGGCCGAGATGGCCCAACTTTAGGTACAAAAGTTTCCTCTAAAGACCGAAGAGGGGAGTCACCCAGCGACGAGCTGACCTCCCCAGCATGGGTTGCGAACTGCACCTCGACACCCTCACCAGAGTCTCCTAAGAGCCTATCTATGCTAGAGGTAGACATGATTAAAAAACAAAGGAGAACAAACTAAGGAAAAGATGAACTCACCAAAAGAAGAACGACCTCGAAATACAAAGAGAGAGCGAGCTGAAAGATTCCGACGCGACCTCGGGAGAGCTGAAATCACAAAATTTTTGGCAAAGAAGAGGGGTCTCTCGGCCCCCTATTTATAGTTCACCGTGGAGTGATCAACGACTGAGATCTACTTGATTGAGCGGTCCTCATGAAAACCGGTTGCACGACGCCCGATGACAAAATCGGTTGAGCGTGTTTTTGACGTCCGCGGAGTCCATAAACAGCGTGACGTCCGCACGTACACCTGACGCGACCTGGGCTATTGTTGATTAGATCAGAGGTTCAAACAGGTTTGACCAACCGATCCGCTCGGCAGACCGCCTAGGCCTCATGCCAAATCCACCTAGACCCGTCGTGAACTCCCCACACCGGGTCGGAACCCCTGGCTCAGGGAGTGGGGGGCAATTGATGAAGGGTGATTTGGCCCGACCTAGTAATAGGGGGACACGTGGACACGACCTAACTAGTAAGACAACAGCTCAGCCCGACTTGCCAAGTCCGCAATAGATCGAGCTCGGATAATCAAACCTCCTTAGGACGAGTTCACCTCGGTGTAAGGTCGCATCAGGACCACCTCGGCCCAAGGCACTTCGACGTTCACCCCAGGTTGGATCTAAAGAGCACTAGCTCGGGTAATACTGACAGACCACTACATGGCAACCTCGAAGATCTCGCCATCAGATTCCAAGCCTCGCGGGATCCTGCTCTGTAACGGTAAGCATTATCTCCTCCCCGCCCGATTGGGGCGGAATTGATAAGCCCTATAAGTTGTCCCCCATTAACGCGAAAACGGATCTCATCGTGACAAGGATCCCGAAACCACTCCGCGAAACCCATGAGGACTCAACTATATAAAGGTTCCAACCTCGAGGGCACAAGGTACGCGTGATTTCATTGCTCTCTAACTCTCTACACTCTAAAGCTTTTCAGCTTGCAACCAAGTATACTGATTTAAGCATCGGAGTGACCTTGCCGGGCAAACAACCCCGGGTTCTCTGATTCTTCCTTTGCAGATCGATCTAGTCTGCCATTTAGTGGAAGCCAGATCATCTCCAATAGGGAGCAGTCAGATCGCGCTTCATCAAAAACCCAAAACACATATGACCAATAACGTTTTGTCATGTTTCTGTTTTAAGAACTAATTTGTTTTCAAAACCAATTAGTTTTGTTTTGTTTTTATAACTTACAATTTTCTAAAACTCACTATGACTTTTCAGCATTTCTCTTAAACTCATCATAACTTTTCAAAACGTCTAGTGAACCCCATGTCAGTAACTTGATGTTAAATAGACTAACGTGTGTTGGTAGATTACCATTTTACCTTTTTTATATTTAACCTATTTTTTAATATTTCAAAAATACCCCTGTTATTATTCGACCCAAAACCCATTTTCAGCTTCCTTGGAATGCTTTCAAGCAGCACATTGAGAGCAAAACATCTCTCAACGAGTAAAAGTCTTACACATAAGGCAGTTTGGCACTTAGGGGCATTTTAGTCATAAAAATATGTTTAATAAGGCTGGCTTTCCATTCAGGGGCAATTTGGTCATGAAAATGAATTTTTGATGACGTGGACAACTTCTGTCAATAATCATTAATAGTGCTCTAATGGATGGTTTGTTTTAGAAAATACTCATTGACATGGGGTTCCTCGGACTTTTTGAAAAGTTATGGTGAGTTAAGAAAAATGCTGAAAAGTCATGGTGAGTTTTAAACAACTTCTTAAAGAAAAATAATTCACATTTGGAGAACACCCCTCTTACTTATTGTGAGTCTAGATCTATTATTTAGTACATTTGAACAGATTTATTGATGGTGACTCAATTGATAAGGGTGTAAATAAATCGGATCGGATTCAAATCGGGATAAATTCGAATTCAATTCGATATAAAAATCATATACTTTGAATTCAAATTCGAATCCGTTAGATTCCATAATCCAATATAAGTACAATTCGATTTGATTCATACCTTCAATAGCAAGTTAAGCACAACAACGACTAAACTCAGGAGTCTGGAGAGTTGTGAGATCTGAAGTGGGTATTCCATATTCAAATCGACAAATCAAAACATATATAAAAAATCTTCGGGTCCATTATGTTGGTTAGAATACTTGCTAATAAATTCCTACTTGCACTTGCACTCTCTCAAAGATGCCTGCTAATCAATTTGTTCAACTTGTCCCGTCTTTTTTTCTTCTTTTATTTTTAAAGTTTGGCCAATGTGCATGCCTGAAAGCGAAATTGAAGATGATAGCTCTCTAATCAAAGTTATAATTCATTCCTTCCTTTTCCTTTTTGTTTTTTTCTGGATCACTAAGATTGCGTACTGGGCTTTGAAATATGATGGAAAAGTGCAAATAATTGTAGACCTAGGCAAGCTATAGAATTGGAATCTTTTATCAAAAGAAATTGATAGAATGCATTTACGATCAAGACTATGGCTCAGTTTGGAAGGAGTATAATTAACCAACACTACCCTTATTTTCTGATAATTGACTAATACTTCCGTTACTGTTAATCTCTTAATATTCCGTTAATAACAAGATAAAAAGACTATTTTATCCTTCTATTTTTTATAATCTGTGTAGGAGGGTTATCTCAGTTGGGCTGGTTGGCAAACTCCTGATATGCAGCGGCAGCGGTGATTTCGTCGTCGAAATCGCCGAAGAAATCAGGGATGAAGCCATGAGTCCGAACTTCTCTGCAACTCTCTCTCTCCCCATTCCTTCGTTCTCTCTTTCCCTCTCGCTCCTGTTTCATCACCGCCGCAGCAGCGGCCTACCTCTCTCCCTCCCTCTCTTTCTCTCTTCGTCCCCTTCGTTCTCTCTCTCCCTCATTCTCGGTAACGCTGGCTTTATTATTTAACCCTTCTCCGACCGGTTAAAAATGGTGGTTTCCAGGTTCCACTTCCTGCTATTTCAGGTTTCAGATTTCAAAAAATAAACTTAAGCTCAAAATCAGTAAACCTGTAGAGAACCAAATTTAAACGAAAGATGATCATCCATAGCAACCCGTTAATGGAGAATTAAGTAGAACATTCGATAATGCATGGTTAAGTTTTAGTGGTTTAGGGCTAGGGGTGAATCTTAAATCCATTCTTTCTGTGACTTATGTCGTTAAAGAAGTGTCTTACAAATGTCGAGGCGGATCATCTTTTACAGGGAACATCAAGTAGATCTGAGAGAAAAAGCATTAAAAAGCATTTATAGTTTTCTACTCTTTGTTGATGACCCAAAGAATGCAGAACATGAAAAACACAAGCAGGCTTGTTTAAGCCCCAAACTTGAAGAGGTGGAAATAGATCATGAAGGTTTCTTGGCACGGTGTTTCCTAGTCATCCGTTTGATTGCGATCCTCCTCCATTCCTTTCCGTCTAGCTTAATCGTTCGAACCCTGGTTACAGTGATTCAAATTAAGTCTGTCTGCAGCGGGCTGCACATATGAAAAAGAGATTATTAGATTGAAGATAGAACATAGGAAAGAAAAGGACTTCAAGAAAATAGGGTTTTAAATGTACCTTGGAAGAAATTTCATCCTCGACCTCGTCCTCAATATTCGTTTCTGGTGATGAATCCTTCGAATTGACGGCTATCTTGGTGCAGTTTCCTTCTTCAATCACAGTTGAGCCATTTGAAATGATTTGCAACAGAATCAAGAGACTTATTGGTGAAAAGAACTTTTGATAAATGGGCAGTTTTCTACCTTTCTAGTTCAATATTCAATCTCCTTTTTGAAGAGGCCTGAAAATAATCCAAGCCCAGATCTTGTTGAGCAAAATTTTTGATAAATGGGCAGTTTTCTACCTTTCTGGTTTTGATTGGGTAGTAATCCATGAAGAACCCAACAGACTTATCGGTGAAAAGAACTCCTTTGAGCTTCAGGAGCAATGGATGGTTCAACTGCTTCAAGACGTCAGTTCGTGCCACAATGCGCCATCAACCACTACTAGACATTCCAAAAGGAACCCAACGGTCGCTCTTTGTGTCTTTGCCCCTGTCCACTTACGCGATAGGGCCCATGTCCGGTGGCAATCATGTTTGTCAATGGTTTCCAAGTTGTCGTGGATGCAGGCAAAACATCGAGTGACATCCCATCTCCCATATTCTTACCAAAATCTACGAAACACCGTTGAAGGGACTCACAATGCCAACTGTTAGATAAATGGCCAAGGAGAATAGCTTTTGCGAACTGTGTAGAGAAAAAAAGGGAGGAGAGACAGAGAGAGAAATCGACGGTGAGAGGAGACAAAGGTGGAGAGAGAGAGAGAGAAATGGGGTGATCGCTCCTTGTAATGGCGATGGGTCTCCGCTACATTCGTTCCGTCGAGAACAATAAGACCCTCTCTGTTCGTAGCTTCGTGGAGAAGAAAACCGCCTTTACCATACGTTTTTATTAATTGAAACCAAACGGAGAAAGAAGGGGAGAGAGATGAGAGGCGGAGGGGCAGGTCTAATAACGGAGAGAGTGGGGGCTCAGGGGACGAGGGTAATATTGGGTTTCGAAAAAAATTTATAGGTCATGTGGGATCACATGTGCATAGATTATGGTAGAGCATTAATGGATGTTAACGATAGTCAATTGTCAAAAATAGTAGAGGTAGTGTTATTCAATTTTTAAAAAGTAAGGGTACACTTAGTCAATGAACTAAATCATAAGGGTAATTTAAGAAATTTACTCTAAATACAAATATGTACAATGCATATACATATAAAATATAAGGTTTTGCACTTTACATATTTGTATTTGTATTCGTTCCAAACTAAGCCTATAGGACTAGGATAAGACCAATGTTTTAAAACTTGAATCCAAAGCTTAAACCGTTTTCTGGGGTCAATGGGTCAATGGTTCAATCATATGTCAACAAATCAATATGAAATTATCGTCACAAAAGGCTTCAAAAACAATAAAATAAATACAAAAATATGATAACCCACTAAATGGGTCAGATGGGTCAATGGTTTAATCTTAGATGAAATTTATTAGCAAGTGATTTGATTGGCTTCAAAAAACAAAAGAGAGTGATTTGACCATATATATAGATTTAAGTTACATTATGTCAAAATTATTTTAACTAATCATTTAGGCTGCGTTTGAAATTGGTGTAAATCAAGAATGATGTAAAAGTTTACACCGGTTCCATTTTGTTCGTGTTTGGAAAGAGAGCTTAATCATGATTGATGTAAAACTCTATTCCGATTCAGTTATGCGTATGTTAGGATGGAGCAGAGTTTTACATTGATAATCAATGTAAAACCTATCAAGCGTAAAGTTTTACATCGATTATTGATGTAAATGCTACATGATTTTATTGATGTAAAACTTTACACTCTTCACCCATCATGTTTTTCAAAAAGCAATGGTCACTTTCACGGTTTAGTGTAAAACATCATCGGTATACTTTTACACCGATAATGTTTTACACTAATTCCAAATGCAACCTTAAAAACATCACATAGTTTATTTAATTTTCATTGGGTCACAACAGTTTTTTTTTTTTTTCGTAAAATAACAGGTGAGAGATTGACCTAAACCAGTATTATTGCCATTCACCTTGATGAGGGGTGGTTTGGCCTGACCTACTCATGTACGGACACGTGGAAGTGACTTGTTGATTGGACATTGACTCGGCACTTCCTACTAACTCAGTAGACTAGGTCACCTCGGGTACCTTGGGCACCTCGGCCAGGACCGAGGTCCAGGTAGCTCGTGACAACCTGACCTGCCGATGCGATACATAGCTATCTTCTAGAAGCGAGCTAGCTGTCTCCAAGCTCTTTGGGATCACGCCGCACAACTGTAACTCGATAAGCCTTATCGGCTAGCACGAAGTCCACCTCCTGGTGTGGAAGCGACTCCTAGCAGCAGGGGCCGAAGATCTCGGAGGTGTTTCGTGAGACCTATGGCAGCTCACCTATATAAAGGCTTCAACCCCATCGACTCAAGGTACGTGCAATTTACTGCTTACTAGCATTCTAGCATTCAAGTATTCATCTTGCTCAACAAGAGTACTAACTTAAGCATTGGAGTTCCCACACCGGGTCCTCTAAGCCCTCCTCTCTTTGCAGTTTGACTGGCCAACTAAGCAACCAACATTTGAGCTTCCCTCCAGCTAGGAGCAACCAAATTGCGCACAATCAATTGGCGTCGTCTGTGGGATCCACGACAATCACTAACGAAGTGGGCCATCGAGCTTAGTTAGTACAACATCCAATTCAAGCCACGCCCAACCATTAAAGCTTAAGTCCTGGTGGATTTTGTCATGGAATGCTCATTCAGCATGCCGACCCCTAAGGTGGTTGAGTCGACCAGCATGTCGGAGGTATTAACTAGCACGACACCAGTTCCGGTCAGGGAAGCCCCAACTTGGGACAAGGAGCCTTAGATTCTCCACGCTGATGGCTCGTCTATTCAGTGATGAAATGGAGCTGGACTCATACTATACGGGCCAAACAAAGTGAAGCAGGAGTACGCTCTCCAGTTTGGATTCGAAGCATCGAACAACGAAGCGGAGTACGAGGCGCTGATAGTCGGGCTGACATTGGCAAAAGTGGTCCGAGCAAAGCATGTCGTGGTATGCGACAGCTTTCATTTGGTCATAAACTAGGTGAATGGTGAGTACGAGGATCAGGAACCCTTCATGATGGCCTACTTGGCCAAAGTTAGGGAACTCTTGTGCGACTTCCACTCTTGATTCATCCGGCAAGTACCGAGGTCAGGGAATGCTAAGGCCGACACACTCTCAAAGTTGGCCAACACTAGCAACTACAGTATGAGGGCAGTGTACATCGAAGACCTGCCTCGACCTAGTATCGTTAGGGTGGCAGAAGAGGTCGCTCCCGTGTTGCAAGCAGAACCGAGTTGTGTCGACCCACTTGTTGATTATCTGCTCCATGGGACCTTACCAATAGAGCCTAACGCAACTCGGAGGGTAGAGTGTCAGTTAGCCAAGTATGTTCTCATTGACGAGCAATTGTATAGGAGATCCTTTACGCTCCCCTACCTGCGCTACTTACAACCTTCAGAAGCAAGTCGGGTGCTACACGAGATCCACGAAGGTCTCTGTGGAGGAAACCTAGGGGGTAGGGTGCTCGCTTAAAAAGCACTAAGGTAAGGATATTATTGGTCTACTATGAAAGTGGATGCACTCGAGCTCATCCGGAAGTGTGACAACTACCAGAGGCATGCCAACATTCTTTATCAACCTGCTGCCGACCTGAAGTACCTGACTAGCCCATGGCCTTTCGCCCAGTGGGGGATAGACGTCCTTGGTCCGTTCCCACCTGCAATTGGGCAGAGAAGATTCTTGGTCGTGACGGTAGATTACTTTATGAAGTGGGTGGAGGCCGAGCCCTTGGTAACGATCACAACCCAGAACGTACATAATTTCTTCTAGAGCAACATAGTATGCTGATTCGGACTTCCTAAGGTACTAATATCCAACAATGGAAAGCAGTTTGAGGACATCAAATTCCAAAGTTGGTGCACCAAGATGGGGATCCAGTAAAACTTCATGTCGGTGACACATCCACATGCAAACGGACAAGCCGAGGTGACAAACAGGGCGATTCTCCGCGGACTAAAAGGTCGCCTGTCACAAGCTATGGGCTTGTGAATCGACAAGCTGCTCAACGTCCTATGGGCCTATAGGACCACTATCAAAATTGCGATGGGTGAGGCACTGTTCAACTTGACCTACGGTACGGAGGTCGTTATCCTAGTCGAGATCGAAGTACCAACCTTGTGGCTAGAGGCATACGACGAGGAGGTCAGTGATGATGAGCTATGGATGAACCTCGACCTGATCGAAGAAGTATGCGACTTGGCCTATATCTGGATTGCTGCCTACCAACAATGAGTATCTCGGTACTACAACGCTCGAGTCAAGTGATGCCAATTCCGTGTTGGCGACCTTGTGCTCTAGAAAGTGATGGTACTTGAGACCGGTGTAGGTAAGCACGGACCGAACCAGGAGGGTCTATACAGAGTTAGGCAAGTATTTGGTGAAGGGACGTATGAGCTCAAGACGTTGGAAGGGAGGCAGGTGCCCCATGCTTGGAATGTCAACAACCTAAGGAGATACTACTTGTGAGTTTGGGAACCGAACATCCGCCAAATTTTTCTAAGTTCAAATGACCACCCGCTTAGACAAATCAGTCAGGTCGCACGTTGGCTAAACTATACAATGGAAAGTGGGCCACGAGTCACTCTAAAATCCTAAAGGCTCTGGTGTCGAGCCAATAAAGACCTTGTGCTAAAGATCCAATCACTTTTTAAGCATGTGGGCAGCACGAGCAAACCTCACTTAAGTCTTACTGGTGTACAGGCAGTTCGGGTCATATACCCTAAAATAAATGTTCACCTCGGCTCACAGTCACTCCGGGTTACCCCTTACTGTGCCTAGTTATGTTAGGAGATCAACACCTCGGGGAAACCTACACTTAGAGAATTTTTCAAGTTCAAAATAGTGCAAGTGAGGTGGCGAAAAGATAATTTCATTTCTTCCAAAAAAGGGTGGTTCGTACATTCAGCAAAAAAAAAGGGAGAAAGAAGGTAAAGTCTACTAAAACAAGCTCAGAGGCTCAACAAATGTCATATGTACAGGGAGGTCCAAGAAAAGAGGCAAAGTTTACTCATCATGGGGCTCCTCGCCCCCACCTTTAACATTCTTAGAAGATTCTTTCGCCGGTTCGGTTTTCATAACATCCTCAACAGTAGCAACCTCATCGGCATCCATGACCTTGTTAGCTGCGACATCAGGGCTTTTCTCCATTGCTCCCATGTATGGTGATGACTCTGAGGTCGAGCTCGAGGAACTTGCACTTGGTTAACCAATGACAAAGTTTGAAACCCTTTCGGAAGGCATCTGTACCATCCTCCTTCCTCATCTAATTGTACTCCGACGAGGCTTTATAAGCACTGACTGCAGCCACCTCGACATCCTTAATACCTTGGATAAGAGCAGCCTCACACTCGGTAGAAGCAACTTTCTACTCCTCGGCCTCCTTCGCCAACTTCTCATTCTGCTCCTTCTTCGCCAACACTTTGGCCTCCATCTTTCGAATGGTATCGATGGACTTCAACATCTTGCTTTGGCACTCCATAACCATTGCTTCGGCCAGTTCATTCTTTGCCTCGACAGACTTCATCCTTGCAACATTCTAATCGATCTGCTGGATAAGGGAATGGATCATGGAGTTTACCTGCAAAAAGGAGAAAAATAAAAGACAAGGAAGACAAAGGTGAGGAATCAAGATCGGGAACATACCATGGTGATGTGACTCGCAGCTCTAGCACCCAGTTGAGCATGAGGCAGCCCGACGTACTTAGTGACCTCCTCGGGAAAAACCGCCTTCAGAATCTTTATGAGGCTGGTCTGGGCGTTCATGATACTTTGGACCATCTTGGGGCCCTCACTAGAAGAACCAGCCCTGGGATGAACGGTCTGAGGCTCAGATGAC